GAGATGCGCTGCTCCATCCCGCAGTGTCAACGACCATCACTCCATTGCTGCCTGTGTGCATGGTTTGGCTAGGCACTCCCAGCCACATCCTTGGCCTGTGCCCACCGCCATTCCACATCGCCACAGGACTTTGGGGGATTAGGGGGATACAGGGTGGGGGATTGGGTGTGGGGTTGGGGCAAGAAGCTTGCGCAGAGGTTAGGATTAAGGTGAGGGTGTGGGTGCACAGTCCTCACTCCCACCATCTTCACTCCTACCAGGTGGTTTCCGGTGGCATGAGGGTACCCATGACGACTTTCTTCTGGCAAGAGTTGCAGGGGGCTGCCGGTAGTCCGGTCTGTTGGACTCCGCCTGTGCCTGCCCCCAGGTGCCGGTTTGGGATCACTCTTTGTCTGGCCTCTACCCTTTGACCTGTTCGGCTTGGGTGACCCTGCCAGGAGTACGAGACTCCTGCCGACATAGCTCTAGGGGTCATGGAGACGCGCAAAGTGCCTCACCACGATAAGGTGGTGATCCCATCGAGGCACACACACACACACACACACACACACACACACACACACACACACACACACACACACACCCTTCAGATGCAGTATTTAAAGAAACAAAGTCAGCCTCAGCAATTTGCCCTTTGATCAATTACTTAGCATTTTTCTAATACTGCTCCCAAAATGCCTACAATTAACTGCACAGCAATTTTGCTCATTTAGCAGACCGAATCCCGGGTGTAACCGGTTCGTAGAGGAGCCCAGCTTCCACACTTGTGTGTGTGAGCAATCAAGTTTGCAACGGTTTTTCTGCTTGCTAATCTTTTGTAAATTAGGCTTCTCGTTCATCAAATGTTGCACGTGTTGGAATCGTGAGTCTTGTATGGATCCTTGACGATTCCATTCAGTCACGTTAATATTGGTATGTGTGATCTCTTAAGGTTTGTGTCAGATTATATTTTTCTCTCTTTCCAGAGTGTGTTTTTTTGACACGTTTGCTGAAGCAATTGTGCTTTATTGTGGTTGGCAAGCACATTTCACCTGCTCTTCACCCATACTGTGTTAATAGAGTAATTGGCTGTGCTGAGTGACAAGTGGCATCTTTAAGAAGATAATGAGGCAGGCATTTTAACACTCGACAGCAACTACAATCACACTATGCTGGAAAGATCACAAATTATTGGCAGGCTAGTTACCCAATTTTTTTTTTTTTTTTTTTTAATGTATTGGCATCGTAAAATGATTCATGGATATTTATGGATGCCAGTCCATCATTGATTACTGAGGCATCAGACCCAGCGAGGTGGGGAAAATCAGCCTCGATATTCGCTTGCCTGACACGGTGATTTAATTCCTTGAGGAACAACACATTCAGACACAACTGCTTTGAACAAGGAAATAAATATGTGTGCTCTTAGAGCAATGCCACAAATCAGCACATCCTCTCCTGCTCCTCACTTATCTGGCTTGATGATGTGAGCCTCGACACTTGCCCCATCTCATGCAATTCAGTCGTCAGTGTAGCTGGAAGATTTTAATGTTCCCCAATTTTTTTTTTTTTTTTTTAATGTTAATTGGCATCGTAAAATGATTCATGGATATTTATGGATGCCAGTCCATCATTGATTACTGAGGCATCAGACCCAGCGAGGTGGGGAAAATCAGCCTCGATATTCGCTTGCCTGACACGGTGATTTAATTCCTTGAGGAACAACACATTCAGACACAACTGCTTTGAACAAGGAAATAAATATGTGTGCTCTTAGAGCAATGCCACAAATCAGCACATCCTCTCCTGCTCCTCACTTATCTGGCTTGATGATGTGAGCCTCGACACTTGCCCCATCTCATGCAATTCAGTCGTCAGTGTAGCTGGAAGATTTTAATGATGCCTTCAATGATTTTGATTGCATGGACATTATTACTTGTGATTATTGCAGAACGTGTGCTTCCTCCCAAGTGAAGAACGAGTTCCTGGGTAGACAAGAACAAGATCGTTCTTCGTGCTTTGCCTCTTAATATATCTTTTTTTATCCTTGGATAAATAAAAGAATAATTGCCCATTCAATTTTAGAATAGCGGCCCGGTAGTCCAGTGGTTAGCACGTCGACTTCACAGTGCAGAGGTGCCGGGTTCGAATCCAGCTCCGGCCTCCCTGTGTGGAGTTTGCATGTTCTCCCCGGGCCTGCGTGGGTTTTCTCCGGGTACTCTGGTTTCCTCCCACATTCCAAAAACATGCATGGTAGGCTGATTGAACACTCTAAATTGTCCCTAGGTGTGAATGTGAGCGTGGATGGTTGTTCGTCTCTGTGTGCCCTGCGATTGGCTGGCAACCAATTCAGGGTGTCCCCCGCCTACTGCCCGGAGACGGCTGGGATAGGCTCCAGCACCCCCCGCGACCCTAGTGAGGATCAAGCGGTTCGGAAAATGAATGAATGAATGAATTTTAGAATATAAAACAAGAGTATTTGCAATATGGGAAGAACAACAACTTGTTTCCATGTCAGTGACCGGGCATATTCCGTCTCCATTTGGCATGTGATTGACTGACGATCAGTCCGGTCGACCTTTCGCCGAAAGTCAGCTCGGCAAGGGTGTAACTCCCTGCAAACTTGAACAGGATAACCGGCATGAAAAAAAAAAAAAAAAGAATGGATGGCAGGATGGCTGTTTCTCTCTCTCTAGAACATGCTGGAGAAATACGCAGGTTTGGTTTGTGCAATATTTTCGGTCCCCTGTGTTGTGGGTTTTTGTGGCATTCTGCTTCTGGAAGATTTGTGATTTCTCTCTCTCTCTCTCTCTCTCTCTCTCTCTCTCTCTCTCTCTCTCTCTCTCTCTCTTTGTTTGAATTAAATTAGTTAACTGCAAATTGGTGAAACACCCCAAAAGAAAGGCAGCATTGCACTAGTAATACCTTAAGTCCAACATTGCTGATCTTTCATTGTCTGTTATTTACACAAACCTGCTTCCTCTGACCTTTCACGGACTATAAGGCTTTAAAGTCAGTTAATTTTGAAGCAGACAGTACAAAGAACAGGACATGAATGCGAGAGTGAGTGGTGAAAGGCTTGCAAATAGCAAACCGTTTAATAAGCAGGCTGGGTTGGGTACAGTACGTGGGTAGCCGTAGTCAGGAAAGGCAAAGGTAGCGAAAATTGGTAGGGCAAAAAGACAAGGTCAATACTCACACAAGGGTGAAACTCACAATTAGTTGGTAGGGAGAACAAGGACTGCTGGAATGTGACAACAAGGCGCAATGAACTGGCGATGAGACAGGATGAGGCATGAGGTTCAACAAAAGGTAATCAGGGAAAAGGCGGGTGAAGAAAGCACAATCAGGGGCAGGTGACCTAAACAAAATGTGAGAGGCAGCATACACACACACACACACACACACACACACACACGCACACACACACACACACACACACACACACACCCACACACACACACACACACACACACGCGCGCGCACACAAACAAATTAGGCAGATGGTGTACCTGTGTCTTCCTTCAGGTCTTCAAAAAAAGCCTGTTTTGAACTGAGACTATAGAAGAAACAAATGTGTTGAAAGTTCTCTGATTAGGGAAAATTGAAAAAAAAAATTAACACAAACGAAAAATAACTTGACTCAATGAGCTGGACATGTCAGAAGCTTCTGAAAATAAATAAAGAGCGGATGTCTAGCTCCCTTCATCTTCTGTCCAGGAAAAGATAAGGATTCTTCTTGTATGAACGAACTTCCCCTGTAATTAAGCATTCAGGAAATATCAAGTCTCCTCAAGCATGGAAATAATGAAAAAAAGAGCAACATCGACCTGTGCAGTATGTTTGTCTTCTCGGTTAGGCAGGAGGCTTGGCTCAGTAGACATGAAATATATTTTCTCCTAACACTGATTCCATCAGTATTAAAAGGTAAATGGCAGAAATCGATGCACTGAGGAGTGTGCCTATATGAGGAGGATGAGGGGATCCTCAAGCGATGGACCAATCCAGTGAGCTGGGGTATTAAATGGAATCGCTGGATAGCAGTAATAATAAGCAGTAATAATATATATATATGTTTTTAATAGTGGTGCTCCCATCGATCGGCCACCGGTCATGATCGGCTGATCGGCCGATTTCCCTGGGAAAGTAAACGACCATCATACTCAATGACTATCAATGCCTTTCATCACCCATCACATCATGGGTTGCTTACGTCCTATGCCTACCACCCGAACTTCAAATGAGGTTGGGGCACAGTCTGGTTTTAACATGCAAAGTGAGTAGTTACAAGTTGTGGGTAAAGTTCCTGTGGTGAAAAAAAAAGGCCTTTTAGTCGTTAGTTCAGTGTAGTGTTGAGATTACAACTCCAGCAGTGAGCTTCTTTTTTATTAAGTCAATAACTAATCAGCATGCCCATCTCAGAGTACAGAGGTCCAAGGTTTGATTCTGGGCTGTGGCCTTCCTGTGTGGAGTTTGCATGTTCTACCCGTGCATGTGTGGTTTTTCTCTGGGTGCTCTCCTCCCACGTTCCAAAAAACATAGATGGTAGGTTAATTGAACACTCTAAATTGTCCTAAGGTGTGATTGTGAGTATGAGCGGTTGTTTGTCTATGCGTGCCCTACGATTGGCTAGGAACTGGTTCAGGCTGTACCCCAGCTGACTGCCCAAAGATGGCTGGGATAGGCTCCAGCACACCCGCAACCCTCATTTCAAATAATGGCAGGATGGATGCATATATAAAGAATTACTTCCTGTTTCTCAAACCTTAACATCTGCTGTCTGGGCAGCTTCTGTCACAGGTAATACCAGCCTTATTCGAAAGCTAAAACCATCTCAATCAATACACACCCCAGGGCAAAGACGCAGATTGGGGAAAGAGGAAGGATAACAGGATGCTACCTAATTCAATGAAATAGACATTACCCAGTGCTCTCAATCTGCCAGGGCATGAGTAATCAGAGACAAATTCATTTAGGAGCCCGGGAGCCCGGTATTGCTTTCAATTAGGGGCTAGAGATTAGAGCAAGTGGGGTGCACCAAGTGAGAGTCGACGTGGGTGAGTCGACTCACAATTCACAGCAAGCGCGCATCATTTTCAGCTGACGTTTCCAATTTGTGGCCTTCCCCCAGCGTGTTGAACAGCTGGTGCAAGCAATGTGATGCTCACTTATCCAGTTAAATGTAGACAATGATCTTTTGGCCACCATCAGTGAAATATATTGTCGGATTGAGTGCCAGAAATGCAAAGTAGGAATGCAAGTATGAGACAGACACATGAGGACGATGACCGTTTACACAAACATTTTAAAGTCTATTTTATGTTCTTAATGGATGGATGGATGAGCATTTCCACCACCAAAAGAGAATAAGCGTTAAAGATAATGAATTGTGTAAGGTGGACCTTTTGCTGAGGAAATTATGAAGCGGTTGAAGATTTGATTGCTCTCTATCGGCCCAAAATGCTCTCGTTGGTTTTTATAGCATCCGGTGTTCATCGTATATTTCCCCCAATCCTGCTAAAAGGCAGGGAGACAAACTAAAAACCTTATTGGATCAGCTACAGTGTAACACACTCTGGTGTCAAATGATGATGGGCTCCTTGACATTTCAGCCGTGGCTTTCCCAGCAAGTATTTCTTTTTCATAAACTCTCCTGAGAGTCACTCAACTGCTCCTCTGGCCTCGAGCCTTTGCACCGAAAATTTACTGTCAAAGGACGTTTCTTCAGATGTAAATAGAACTTGTCAGCATCCTCATGAACTGTCTGATGTGTTTTCGTGTCCACTGTTAGCTCACACTGTGACTGACATCCACTGCATTAGCTGTCTGGAACGTACTTGAGACGGTGGTCAGCAGGGCGTAATCGGAGATTTTGTGGGCAGAGTGTAAGCAAACAGTTGTGAAAACAGCTGTTTTAGGAGAATTAAATGTTCCACCTCATAACAGAAACGCAGATGGTGTTGCTCCTTTTTCAGCAGCTGCCTTAGTTTAAAGCACTTGCTGTTTATTTTGTAAGCAATGTCTCCTTTTAATTTCAGACAACTTGGCAGCCGTCCTTTTAGTGGATGAGCTCTCGTGCAGAAACGGTGCTTGAAATGTACTTCGAAAGAAGACTGTCGCTCTTCTAATGAGAATCTTCCCTTCTTGTTTTTACAGGTATATTTGGACCAGACGAGGGCTGGGCAGCAGCCTATCCAGAATGTAAGGAGAAAAACCAGTCACCGATCAACATTATGGACGAAGATGCGAAAATATCCACTGAGTTTCAGGAAATTACACTGGAAGGCTTTGACGCTGAATCTTCGAATAAGACGTCGATGAAGAACACTGGCAAAACAGGTACGGTAAACATATGCAAGTAGGTCTGTCCAAGTCTCCGGAAGGGAATGCAATGCCCCACCACATATCGTAGTGGGTCCTATTTCATACCGTGGTAGTGATTGAAGTTTTTTCTTTTATTTGCCATCCATCCATTCATCCATTTACCGATCCACTTCATCCTCACAAGGATCGTGGGGTGTGCTGGAGCTTATCCCAGCTGTCTTCGGGCTGTTGGCAGGGTACACACCCTGAGCCGGTTGCCAGCCAATCGCATTGCACACAGAGATGAACGACCATCCTCACTCACCCTCACCTAGGGACAATTTCGAGTGTTCAATCAGCCTGCCATGCATGTTTTTGGAATGTGGGAGGAAACCGGAGTACCCGGAGAAAACCCACGCAGGCATGGGGAGAACATGCCAACTCCACACAGGGAGGCCGGAGCAGGAATCAAACCCTGCACCTCTGCACTGTGAGGTTGACGTGCTAACCACTGGACCACCAAGCCACTCTTTCATTTGCCCTCATTTTAAATATTCAATGAAATGAAAATATTGAAAGTGGAACATGCTTCCTTTAAAGTACAAAATGCAAACATTTAATCCTCTCCGAGTCAAATTTCTTTCAGATCCTAAGTGTAGTCTGGTCTTTGAGAAGTGATTTTCAGATTATCAGTGGTTTTCATGTTGATAATGCTGTTTATGTTCCGTCGTATGAAGTAAACTTGTCTGACCACTCAGGGTTCCCTTTAAAGGGGGCACATTATGGTACTTATTTTAGTTTAGCAACCAGGCAATGAAGTATGAAATTGCATAACCACGTCATTTTATCGTGAGGTGCTTATGTCAGAAAATGTGTCTTTAACAAGCCGTACAGCTTTTGACCGTACTACGACGTAACAGTCAGGTATCAATTTATTTATCTGTTCTTTTATTTCGTTTATTTTATTTATAATTTTATCTGTGGTTTTCTCGTTCTTGTTCTTGATTGTAAAGTGTCCTTGAGTGTTTTGAAAGGTGCTGATAAATAAAATGTATTATTATTATTATTATTTTAAGCACTGCTCTTAAACCTGCAACCTGGCAGCTACCTAGGCATTAATAAGCCATTTTCCTTGCAGCCTACACAGAACATCAATCTTGTCAGAGCCAAAGTCTAAGCAGGTTTGTGCTCAAATTTGTGTTAGCCAACAGTGTTACCTGTGTAACCCCTGGATAACTGACGTTTTTTTGTTTCAGCAGGTGAATTGAATATCCATTAAATATAGTGGCAGAGAACAGAGAAACACTGACAAAATATTATATACTGTTGTACTAGGTTAACTCCTAACTTCTCTTCCTACGGTGTCAACAATGTGCCCATAAGTTGGAACTATCTTACGGTAACACAGTAACAAAGTAGAATAGTCATAATTACAGTAAATCATTGAGTGATAAACAATTCCAGGCCGTACATGTAAAACAACCAAATACAAAGTACAGCGGTAACAAGACATGCTTTCCTATGCTTCGCAATGATGCATTCCTACCCTACCTCATAAACCAGTTGCTTGTGTGGCATTCATTACCTTGAAATATCAGAACGGCAAAACGAGGTAACCGGTACGGTACTGTATATACAGTGTGACCTCAAAGGTCCAACAATCCATTCCAGGATGATGATTGACCTCCATTTTTTTTCAGATTTCGAAACATGAACAGTAAAAAAGAAAAAGAAATAATACATTAACACCTGTACTTAACCTTTGGTTAAAAGTGATGCTGCAGAGACAAATGTTCCCACGTTAGATAACTGAGCTTATGCTCTTCAAAGGGCTTTCACATCGACAGCCAACTGTACGTTTGATTAGCACCATGATGTTCATCTTGTCTTCTTATTCGTTAAAACGGGTTGAAGTTTTCTTTTTTTCAAGACAGTGGTCTTTTTTTTTTTTTTTTTGTGAAGAGAAAATGTCTTACCTAAGCTGACAGTTCCGGCTGTCACTTCAGCCTTCATCGGTGCAATCCACTACCTGAAAAAATGAAACCTTCAACCTCTTGTTCGTTTTATTGTTTCACTATTATTTTTGACATACTTTATTGTTCCAAGCAAGCAGGGAGGGAATGTGTGTTCCTATATTGCAGGGGTCAGGAACCTTTTTGACCAAGACAACCATGAAAGCAAAATATTTGGAAATGTATTTCAGTGAGAGCCATGTACTATATTTTAAAAGTGAATTCAACAAAATGTCCATATAATAAGCCTGTGAATTTATTCTTTTAAATAATGTTGTTATAATACTCACTATTAATGTGAATGGTTTTTCATTCCTCACTATTGCTAAAGATCCAGCAAAGCTAGTGGAATTATAGTCACCTTGCCGGGTCCATACGCGGAGTTGCTGCTGGCTAGCTTGCACCCTGCTCAGTAGCTTGCACGCTTTCCTTTCTGCTGTCGCCCAGAGGGTATATTGATGCGAACGAACGAAGCATGATGCAATCATCAAAAGAGCCACCTGCATAAATGACTCAGAGCAGTAAATTGTCCCTAGAAAAAACTTACAGGGGTACACTGGAAGAACTAAATCCAAAACACAAACAAACAAACAAACAAACAAAACATTACAGTAAAACAAAACAATGTGACAGCAAGAAAAACAAAAAAACATGACAACACAAAACAATGTGACAGCAACAATGATCCGACCAAGACTGACAGAAACCACGGAACTGAATACAAGCAAACTGACGAGACAAAAAGGAACACCTGGACAAGACACTCAGGGTTGAGGTAGCTGATTGGTTAACACAAGGGATGACAACAGGCGGAAACAAAACCAAACGAGGAAGACAAAAAGCACAGAGGAAACAAAACCAAATGGAATCCAAACAAAAAACTGAATCATGACAACTACTAAATATAAAATCATCTCTCTAAGTAATTCATTTCTAATGTTGACCGTAAAAGGAAATTGCAACACTTCGGTTACATTATATAACATTTTAAAAACGTAACAAAGTCAAACCCTTGAAAAGAGAAAACCAGAATACTGAGGATGTAAACCAGTGTGACACATCTAATAATCCTTGTTTCTGTCGGCATGTCTGCATGTCAAACATCTGCTGCATCACTCCCCTTCCTCCTATTATGAAACAGGACAGGTGCAATATGAAACAAGACATTCCTGATGCAGATAACGGCACCTATTTCAGACAAGCAGAATATAACAAGGGCAAAGTCTGGTGTCACTGCATGTCGGAATCAACATGCTGCTATCTGCATTCGGTTTTCTTGGCATTTCATGGACCCTCCTTGACAGCTGCAGGTATTTCATTATACCGGGATGTCAGAAAGATGGATGATAAATTCTCCTCAGTCTAGGCCAGTTGAAAGGCATATGCCACATTTGTTTGGTGAGCATATTGACATCATGTCGTCTTATTCCCAGCACTAACCTGTTTGTCTAGCACATAGTTATTTCATTTTGCACCATTTAGTCATGAGTGTAAACTGAAAAGAATTTCCATTTCTGAGACGCTTGACGAGTAATTGATGACATTTGATCCAAGCAAAACACAAGAAAGAGCTGAATCTTTGTTGCACTCTACAGAAGTTATTTTATTTATTCATTTGTTTTGTGTGGAAGGGCTATCTTGGCATTTTCACAAATCGAATTGCCTCTATCAAGTAGGCTGGTGCCGAGAAAAGGTTATGATCTGCATTAGTTTTAGGATAGAAGTTTGTGTAAAGTTAGATAAATGTAACTTTACTACCAGGCAGAAAATGGCTGTTAACAAGAAATATCCCAGAGACGAAAGGAGTGACACTTTCAAAACTCCTCACAGATGATCAAATCGAATTAAGAAAAATCCAAACTAAAGAGGCTGTACCTGAAGGTACAAACCACTTATCAGAATCAGAATAAACTTTATAGTTAAACACACACAAGCGATTTCTCTCTGGCTGGTTTAACCCAGATTACAGCAACATGCAAGTATAAGAAAAATAATATTTAGGACATAACACATAGAATAAGTACAGAGAGTCATTAAGGGTAACAGGTACCATTAGTGTGGTAATAGCAAACAATATCAGCTGTGCAAATGATGCCGAGAGTCGTCAATCAAACTAAAGTGACCACTATCACGACAATTATGATGCAATGACAATTGTGCAAATAACGCAGAGAGTCAACACTCAATTGAAAGTGACTAGTCATGTTACAAATGACAATTCCAGTTCACTTTTTCTTCTTCACATTGAAATGGGCTATTCTGGATTGCAAAATGTGAAAGCAAAAGAAAAAGCCATTCAGCTTTATGAACACAGGATCAAAAGGCAACGAGTATTACTTATGCGTTACATTTCTGCTATGGGTCCGGCCCAGGGTCCGGATAAAAGCATGGACCTAAAAGGGACCGTCACTAACACTGTGTAAACTGTGATATTCTTTTTTTTTTTTTAACCAGAGAGCAGATATCATTGAAATTCTCACATCACGGAACAACTGACACTCCACAACAGTCACTACATCTCGAAAAATAAATAATAAATAAGGACCCTGATCAATGACGACGATTTACCCAGCTTTGGAGTGGAGGTGAGCCGTGATTATTTCACCGGTCTCTCTGGCGATCACCCGTAGGAGATGCAAATCACACTGAAACTCCTCTTGACCAGGTCTGACCTCCCTTTTCGCACGATCACGGACGGCTTTGTGTTTGGGAGACGAGACCGGTTCAGGTTCAACTTTCCTTGAAATAAATAATCTCTGGCCTCCAGGGTTTTGAAAGCCTTTAATTTTTCATGAGAGAAAGGTCTAGGGTTTTCTATTAAAGGGGAATAAATGTCTCCAAAGCAGATTTGTGGTCAAGACACTGGTGAGTCGGACCACCGTTTTTCATTATCCCACATCTCATACAGGCTTTGAATAACTCAGATTTTGTCTCCAATACATATTTTACGCTTCCCTCCAAACCTCCTACAGTCTTCAGATGTTAACGTGCCTAAACAGTGGAGATTTCACTTGTTAACTTTCT